TCTTTTAATGTTATAAAGGTTTTTATTAAGAGACTTGAACTTTTTGAGAGCAAATATTTCTGAAATATTTTTTCTAATTATCAATGATATTATTAGAACATGTAAGTATGATCAATAGGAGTTTGTTTATATTTAAGAAACTAATGTATTTTGTATTAATCAATCATTTTTTATAAGAATTTATATTATCAAAAATTTAAGGTCAAACAAAGATAGATAAAATTCTTCAGAAAATTATAAAGATAGAAGCTTTAAAAGAGCTAAAACAGTTTAAAAGAGAAAAAGTAAACTTTTAACTACAATAAAACCTTTGTAGATCTCTTGCTTCAAATATTAAAAGGACCTTGAATACTTTATGATTAGTTTTTCTTTTTTTGAAAACTTTCTTGTCATTGATATCAAAGATATTACTTGACTTTTTTTTGTCACTAAAATTCAAGTTTTTGGGTAAAGAGACTTATAAACAATAGAAAAAAAATAAAGATGACTTTTGAAGTCAAATTTCAAGTTGTTTTATAAAAAGTATTAAGATTTTATTAGTAAATAAGTGAAAAAACTTCTTGCAAGTATTTTTTTTATATACAGTTAAAGGATCAATAAAAAAAATTATTATTTATTTTTTAATATCATAAATATTTTTGAAAAAATTTATTCAATTAAATAAAAATATTTTTGAAAAAAAATTTTTTTAATTATTAATAATATTATCAAAATATGTAAATATAATCAATGAAAGCTTATTAATATTTCAAAAATTAATATATTTTATATTAATTAATTATATACAGTAAAATAAATATTGTATTCTCTAAAAATTTAGAATTGAGAGATAAATAAAAAACCATAAAAATAAAAACTTTAAAAAATCAAAATAACTAATAAAGAAATTTCTTTATTATATAAAATCTTTTAAACATTTACTTTAAAAATAAAAAAATTTTTTTACATACTTTATCATTATTTTTTTCTTATTATTAATAGTAAAAGTATTATTTGATTTTTTTTTCTTATTATTAATAGTAAAAGTATTATTTGATTTTTTTTTTCTTATTATTAATAGTAAAAGTATTATTTGATTTTTTTTTTTTTTTTGATTATCAAAAATCAATTTTTAATTAAGAAAATTTGTAATCAAAAAGATATAGTAACAACTCTTGAAGATACTTTTTAAATTGATTTAAAAATAATAATAAGATATTATTAATCAAGAAGTTTAAATATTTTTGATAAATATTTTTTGCATGTATTAAAAGATAAGTAGGAAGAGTTTTTTCATATAATTTTCTATTATAATAATAGATTAAATTTTTTACATACTAGATTTATATAAATTTTTTCAAAATTAAACATCAATTTTCTAAAAAATCATTTCTGACATATTTACATAAACAATATCTTTCAAAGTAATTTCTTAACTTTCTATGTAATATTATTTGAAAATAGAAATTAAAAAATTATATGCACTATACTATTTTATAAATTAATAGGTAGCAAACTATAATAAATTAATTAAATTATAAAGCAAGTTAGAAAGGTTTCGTAAAAATGATTGCTAGATTATCGCTATGGAAATACGGAACAAATAATAAACAAAACTTGTAATTGCATTTCAATTTTTCTTATTGTCCTGAGCTTTCCAAACTGATACTGAATAGTTAAGTTATTGTGCCAAGTGATGGTGTGACCAGTGCTATATTCCATACTATTATATTTTCAATTGAAATATCCTCATAATTTGATTAAAACACAATATTACTGACAAATAAAAACAATGCAGCGTTTATCATCCATCTTTATTTTATATTAATTATATTTTGTGTTAAGATTTAATAAAAATTCAAAGTGTAGCTATGTATAAAGATAAAAATCCTATATATATATAATAACAACCTAAAAGAATTTTTTTCCGTCCAACGTTAACTTTTAAAATAAAATGATACAGTATATTTATTGTCTTCAAGACAAGACATACCCTCATTAAATCTATGTTTTTTGTTTTTGAAATTTCTGTAATAACTTAAGTCTTTTTATTTATATGTTAAAAATTATGCAAAAATTTATGTTGGCTTTTTTTTTTTTTTTTTTGACTAATGATATGATAATAATAGTTTGGATTGTTTTTTGGTTAATGACTAAAAAGGTATATGATAGTTTGTGTATGATGTATTGTTTTAAAATGCAAAAGAAATGTGTAGTAAAAGAAAACAGTTGATGTATAATCGCCGCGGGAATAATAATAATAATAGCGAATCAGTGTTGGAATCGGGTGAATGGTGGTGGATCGGGAGGGGATTCGGGTGAAGTAATTGTTCGTGGTAATGAGTGAGTGAAATGAGCGAATGAATTATATCCTATCCGGGTCGTCAACCCCCAGAGCCCTCATCACTTGTTCTAATTTTTCCTCCACAGTCATGCCGCCTATAAAACCGGCACCTCCTATCCCCTCCTCTCCATCATACATATAATCATCTTCCATGCCCCCTAACCCACGTCTCATCTCCTCAAGTAAATTTGATAGAGATATATCCTTCGCAATGTAGATGCTGGTCCTCGGTGTGAATCTTGTTTCCTCAATACTCGATCCGTTTTCATTTATGCTAACCTCGGACATATATGATCTGCGATGCGGCTGCACTCCGGGTAGGTGTAGTGGACTTGGTAACACACCACCATAAGTATGATAGTCTTCGTCCTCCTCGTC